TTCAAAGTTGATTACAACTGACATGAAGAATCGCTAGGAGTTCGATAATTTTCGACACTGGAAATATTCTAAACTCCGATTAGAAATTCAAGGAATTGGTTGATTCCTCCTTACAAAAACACATGCCTACTATAGAAAATTACCATACCTCCTAGCAGTTCTTCATGTCAGTTGTAATTAGCTTTGAACGCTATTTTCGGATCTATTCTTATTTCTTTTGTCTAATACAAAACACAGATCTCAAAATCAGTTGGAATTAGTCGAAAAAAAAATGTGAATTTTCAACCAATTTCAACACTTTTGTTTTATATTTTATGAATGTCGACTACAGCTTCGAATAGAGCAAAACAATCCTGATCATGGTTGATATAAATAATCCACAGGAACTACATTCATAATAAGTTAAACAAATGTTATCTTCGACAACATGTTCTAGGAATTTTCGTATCTCTATTCAATGTGCTCTTTCAATTAGACCAATCAGAATATGAATACCGTCGATCTGAAGAAACATCGAAAATTAGCTTAGCGCATATCCTCTGAAGTTAGCAATTCGAGTATCAATGCTATATGTTGAAAACTTTGTTTGACTTGAATTATTTTCATTACAGTGATATGCACAAACGTTATATATTATAAGTGGCTACTGCCCTCTATCTTTTTCTTTCTTACTATTACATATAATATTGGCTAAGTTGACAAATTCCAACAATGGCAAATAAATACCAACCAATAATGAACCAATCAGCTGTGTTTTTTTTTGTACTATAACCCTTTCTTTGATTTTTATTATTTGAAGAAATTTACTTTTATTTGAAATAAAACTTCAATAGTGTTTGTGGAAATAACACATAATGCGTCATTCAGATTTTCGTGGTATGGAAAAAAATGCTCAAACACTTGATGAAGAATATGATGGTTTATCAGCTCGTTCTGTTGATGATCATTATAATTATCCACTTTCACCAAGTGTTCATGGAGAATTTATGGCTGATGGTACAAATAGAAAAGAACATTCATTACATGCATTTGTTGCACCAAAACAAAACAAAAATAGAAAGAATAAAAAAAATAAAGGTACAAGTATTGTTAATAAAGTAGTAGAAGAAGAACTACCTGTTGTTCAAGAAGATCCACAACGAACGAGAGGACGTAAAATATTACGTGACGATTTTGATACTCAATTTGATATGGAACCAGACGATGATATAGAACGATCAAAAAATGAAAGTAAATCTTTTCTTTTCTTCTCAAGTAAAAAGAAAACCAAATGAGAAACTTCTATAATCTTTTAGCTGTACCTATTCGTCCATCTGGACTTGAAACAATGCCTGCTCGTGTAGCTACATTAAAAATAAGTGACAGATCTGATCGAAGTATTTCACCACAAAAACAATCAAAATCTACATATGATTCTCCAAGTGTTACACCTCGACAAGGTGTTTCACCATCTTCTGTTTCACGTCGAAATGAAAATACTTCATCATCTGTAACTTCTACTTTAAAACGTCGTCCAATAGCAGCTGATCGTACTAATACATTACGTGATTATAATGAACGTCTTGAAGGACGTGATTTATTAAATTTAGTTGTTGTTGGTCATGTTGATGCAGGAAAATCTACATTAATGGGTCATCTACTTGTGAAATTAAAAGTTGTTGATGATCGTACAATGCATAAAAATAAAACTGAAGCAGCTCGTTTAGGAAAAGAAAGTTTTTCATATGCTTTTGTTTTGGATGAATCCGAAGAAGAACGACAACGTGGTGTTACCATGGATATTGCTCAAGCTCAATTTAAAACTAAAACTAAAATTGTTAATCTTGTTGATGCACCAGGACATAAAGGTAATCCAAAATACACACACACACACACTCATATATTTCAAACGTTTGTGTCATCGAATTCTGGATATAGATTTAATAGAGAATATAGAATACAAAAATAACGAAAAGGATATGATTCTTTTTTTTTCGGAATACAGAAATAGATGCTGTATTCAAGTTTCTAATGAAAAACAATGGATTTTCGTCTTACGAAGGAAGTTGTCCAATTGATTAATCGCTGTTGAGCTAAAAGCATGTGCATTATATAAGCTTTAAACGATCATGAATATTCCTAAAAGAGTTCGGGCCCATAGGTTATTACTGCTAACATATTACATTTTTATAGTATTATTCAATATAACGTCGTGGTTGTCCTCAAAATCATAGGAAAACTGATTTCTGAATTTACAGTTGAAACTTGAATATCGAATTTGCACGGATATCTGAGCAATGAAAAATACACACTTGTACCAAGGTTGTATCATAGGATGGAAACAACGAAATAACTTGAAACTTTCACACAATAAACTATTCTCGTTGAGACTTGTTTCTATATAAAGTTTCAAGACGAAATTCGAAAGTTAGTTTTTCTTAAGAGGACTGTGATATTGTATTGAAAATACGACTATAAAAATTAATATAAATTAAAAGCGATTCATCAGTTGATGGACTTCAATCGTCAGTGTTACATATGAAACTATATGATTAATAATGAAATGTTCACTGTTGTAGTTATATTAAATTATTTAGTTGAATTATTCAACAATGCAAACACGAAATTGCATTAGTATCAGAAAACTAATAAGAATAGATATTTTAAACATTTATCAAAAATTAAAGCATGAATATTTCTTTAATAGATAAATTATTTAAATATAGAACAATTTGAATATTATTTTTAATTGATAATTTCTCTATTATTTTAGAATACAATATGTAAGTTGACTTGTGTTCAATTAAATCGATCATATATATTTTAAATTTTTACTAAAACTAATAATATAGTAGATCAATAATAGTTCACAGAATATATAAGTAGTATTCATTTCATAATTATAGATATCTTAAAATTTGACTATTGATAAAACACAATTAGAAGAATTTTAATAATTAAAAATACAATGAAAAATAAAAAATATGTTATTTTTTTTAATTTCTTCTTTTTGTTTTTTTTGATAGACTTTATACCAAATATGATAAATGGAGCAGCTCAAGCTGATGTTGCTATACTTGTTATTGATAGTCGTCGTGGTGAATTTGAAACTGGTTTTGAATTTGGTGGTCAAACACGTGAACATGCTCTATTATTACGAGCACTTGGTGTATCACAATTAATTTGTGGTGTTAATAAAATGGATACAATAGAATGGTCACAAGAACGATTTGAAGAAATAGTTAAAAAACTTTCAAGTTTTCTTAAATCATCCGGTTATAAAGAATCAGATATTACATATGTACCACTTAGCGGTTGGACAGGAGAAAATTTAATAACACCAAATAATCCATCATTATCATGGTATCAAAAAGAAGATAATCCTTCAAATATAAAAATCAATGGTGTTATATGTGGTGCAACATTACTTGATTTAATTGATCGTCTTAAACCACCTGAACGACCTATATCAAAACCATTCCGTTTATGTATAACAGATGTATATCGTGCAACAGGTATTGGTGCTGGTACTGTATCTATATCAGGTCGTATTGATTGTGGTGGTGTTGAAGTAAATGAACGTCTTCTATTACGACCATCAAATGATCAAGTAACAATAAAAACAGTTCAAATTGAAAATACAAATGTTTCATCAGCATTTGCTGGTGATAATGTAACACTTAATATTCAAGGTGTTGATCCAACACATTTATTTATTGGTAATGTTGTTTGTGATCCAGAATATCCAATACCATGTGCAACTATAATACAAGCACGTATTATTATATTTAATATATCAGTACCAATATTACCCGGTACACCAATTGTATTTCATTTTAAATCTATGCAAGAACAAGGTAAAATAACAAATTTAATTGAAGAATTAGATCGTTCAACGGGTGAACTTAAACGAAAAAATCCACGTTTATTAACAAAAAATTCAAGTGGTGTTATTGAAATTGTACTACAACGACAAATATGCTGTGAATTATATTCAGATGTTAAAGAACTTGGACGTTTTATGTTAAGACAAAGTGGTTTGACAATGGCAGCAGGAATTATAACTAAAATAATTAGTTAAAAAAACAAAACAAAAAAAGAATATATAAAATAAATTTTGTTTTTTTTTTTTTTTTGTTATTAAAATTCAGTTTTTTTTTCTTCTTTTTCTTTTTCTCCTAATTTCAGATGTTAACTACTATCATTATAATAGCTATTGGTTTAACATTTTTAACACTAATTTTAACTATTATTTGGTTATTAAAAGTTTCAGGACTTTTTACACCAATTAAAATACAAGTTCTTCAACCATCATTTGAATTTTTAACGATTGCCTATAAATTTCAACAGGGTGATTATTCTAAATCAGCAGATATATTTCGAGATATTCTTAATTATTCACCATCACATTCAACTATTGCAATTTATTATGATAATCCAGATGTTGTAAGTTAAAAGATAAATTCGAAAAAAAAGAAACCAAGCTATAAGTTTCTTTATTTTAAATTAGATACAAGTTGAACAACGACGTTTTATTGTTGGTATGATTGTTGATGAAGCTAAAGATGAAAGCATAATTGAACGAATGAAATCAGATGATTATAAAATTTTTAAACTTCCAAAATCTGTGCAATCAATTTATACAACATTTCCATTTAATAGTGTTTTTTCTGTTTCTATAGCAAGCTCGAGAGTACCTTCTCGTTTAGCAGATTTTATTCAGGTAGATAATAACATTTTTTGTAGTAATTATCAATAGAATTTAATTTTTTTTTGTTTTGTTTTTCCTAGACAAATAAATTAGATGCTCATCCTTTCATTGAAATATACGAACCAACATTAATTCATTATTTTGTTCCTTTAAATAATCATGAAATTTATAATGTTCCTGAAATCATTTCTGAATCATCTTAAAATATAGATAAAGCGAACAAAACAAAATTTCATATCTTCTTTTTAGATAGAGAATTTATATATATATATATTTTTTTTTTCAAATAGTGTAAATAAAAAAAAAACAAATGGCTAATCTTCCTTGGTTAGTAAATATGATTGAATTATAGAGGAAAAAAAGACGAATAATTAATTATTTAGGATTGAAAAATATCGTCCGGCAACACTTGATGAACTTGTATCTCATAAAGATATTATCGATACAAGTAAATTTTCATTTTGCTCTTATTAATCTTTTTGTTTTTTACTATAGTCAAACGTTATATGGCACTCGGTGAATTACCACATTTACTTTTTTATGGACCAGCAGGCACAGGTTTGTTTTTCTTGTACATGTATGTTATGCATTTTGATTATTTTATTCTTTTTTAGGAAAAACAAGTACAATTTTGGCATTAGCTAAACAGTTGTATACACCAGCAGAAATGCGTGGTTGTGTGCTCGAAGTAAATTAAATGATTTTCCTAAAGGATTTTTTTTCTTCTATATATATTAATGATCGTAGTTAAATGCATCTGATGATCGAGGTATTGGAATAGTACGTGATGAAATTCAAACATTTGTTAGTACACAAACTCTTCATAAGTATGAAGATCTTAATTTTTCTTTTTTTGTATTATTGAAAAATTTTCTTATATATATATATATATTTGTTTTATTTTTAGAAAAAGTGTTAAATTAATTATTCTTGATGAAGCTGATGCTATGACATCTGATGCACAAAATGCTCTTCGTCGAAGTAAAATTTTTCTTTATTTTTTTGTTGTTTCTCATTTGTTTGTTTGTTTTTTCTTGTCGTGGACAGTTATTGAACAATATACAGCTACAGCTCGTTTCTGTTTTATTTGTAATTATTTATCAAAAATAATTCCAGCTGTACAATCACGTTGTACACGATTTCGATTTGGTCCATTATCAAATGAACAAATGATGCCTCGATTACAATATGTTGTTGAACAAGAAAAGTTAATACAAAAAAAAAAAATTTAATAGAAAAAAAAAGAATTTCTTGATTTGTTTATTTAGTGTAAAAATTGAACCTGAGGGTAAAAAAGCAATTCTTCAATTAGCTAATGGTGATATGCGACGTGCATTGAATATTCTTCAGGTATTATTTTTAACATTATTAAAAACAAGAATATAAGAGCTAAACAAAGCTATATTCATTCAAGACATATTTCTACTAAAGAACGTTGTTTATCGATGTCTATTAATCAAGTTTAAAGACTTTCTCTCTGCACTAGAAATTTTCAGATTATTTCGTTCGTCTTAAAAGACTGAAATTCTGACACGAAAAAAAATGAGGTGAATCTATCCCGTTTTTTAAATTATAGTACATCTAATTGAATTGAAACTTTTTTCTACGAATACTAGAAAATGTTTAAGGTGTTTGGTTATTTTTTTTTGCTTCAAAATATGAGGAGCTGCTGCCCTTACCCGAATTCACAAAAAATCTCTATAAAAAAAAAAAGGATTATCTCAACTATGATCGAACGTATAAATATCTAAAACGGAAATGTTGATTATTGAAAAAGAAAGAATGCAAGAAAAACAAAAATACTTTAAGATGTTAATTTATCGACCTTAAATAATATTTTTATTGTACAACAATAACTTTTTCTGTTTGCTACAATAAAAGAGAAATCATTGAAGAGATCAGATACCGTAATGAAATAATTATTATATCTATTATTCAATTGTATAATGCTATTGTTCGTTTGTTTTTCTGCTACAATGCACCAGAAGACCATTGAATTCTGTCTATGTTGTTCTTCCACTTTCATAAAATTAATCAAATTCCATATATTTGAGTGATTTCGATAAATACGTGAATTTATTCTATTATGATAACCTGCAATTAGAGTGTGGATGTGTCTTCTCTTCAGTCATACATTCACGTACCATAAGTCGATATCGATCGTACAATAATGATCTTTTTATCCAACATTTTTACTTTCGACCAAAGTTAAGTTTATCGTGCATTTTTTTAAGGATACTCTCAGGATTTTGATATTTTTATTCGTATATTAAGAGGCAAAATAAAAAAAGTAATCATCCCAAATATTATCTAGCATTTGAGAAAAGATGTTTTTTTAGTTCTCGAAGACAAAATACGACTGGTAATAAGCCGGCGGAGAAGTTTAATTTTAGCACATGTAATCAGCGGTTCTCTATATATTTGAGAAAAGAGATTCCTGTAAGTAATATCTAGATTTTTAAATGAATATGTGTATGATTTGTTTTTGTTTTTAATTCTATCTAAAATCCAAATTATTGTATAAACCTTTTAGAGTACTCATATGGCATCAGGTTTAGTTACAGAAACTTCGGTATATGAATGTGTTGGTCATCCATCAAAAAATGATGTTAAAACAATTATAAATGTATTACTTAATGAAAATTTTACAGTTGCATCACAAAGTAAATTAAAAAAGAAAAATGATTAATAATTTAGCTAAAAAAATGTTTACTTTTCAGGATTATCAACATTAAAAACAACTAAAGGTTATGCATTAGCAGATATTCTTACTGAACTTCATCGATATGTTCATAGAAGTAATTGAAATAATTTTCAATTGAATAAAATTATTATTTTATTAATTTCTTAGTTGATTTTCCTCGTGAAATTCGTATTCATCTTCTTATTAAAATGGCTGATATTGAGTAAAATTAATTAATAAAATACTATTATTTTATCTATTTATTTATTCTATAGATATCGTTTAGCAAATGGTGCTACAGAAAAATTACAACTTAGTGCACTTATATCTGCTTTTCAAAAAGCTCGTCGAGTAGAAAGTTCATAAATAGTATTTTTTGTCTTCTTCTTCTTCTTCTTCTTTTTTGGTTCAATAGAAAAAAAGTAATAAAGCAAGCAATTATGTCAGATAGTTCTTTATATAAATAAAATGATGAAAATTATTTTTTTTTTTTGTGTTTTTATTTATAACAATAGTAGTATTTGTAATACCGATTGAACAAGAAAATAAACAAGGCAAAATGTTGATGAACTTGAATTAATTTGATTTAAACCAATTTTACAACGTGCATCTGTTGAATGACGTGTACATCCATCAACACCACCTGGACAATTGATATTTATTTGTGAATAAAGATAACGTTCAAGTTGTTGAAATTGACTTTGTATATCTTGTTGTGAACATTTATCAAGACGAGATTTTAAACAACGAAAATAAACTGTTGCTTGTTGACACCAACTACGTTTATTAACAGTATTCCATGATGGATTAAATTTAACAGTAATTGCTAATGGTTGACATAAATTATTAATTGCTTTTATTTGACATAGATCATTTGGTAAAAGTTCTTGTACAGATGATGGACTAACAATACCATTTTTTAATGATACACTTGATAGAGAACCACCACTACGTACAGAATCAATTGTTCCGGGTTGTTTTGAAGATTCCCATATAATATTAAATTTATAATCTTCGATTTTATCACTGCAAAAAGCTAATAGATCATCGACACGTTTTCGAATGCCTAAAATTAACAAAATAGAAAGAAAGATTTTATATTTGTTAGAAGTCTAGTAAATGATATTTAGATAGACTTAAGAATATTTTAGAGTGACTTCAAAAATTAATCATAAAGATTTAATTTCGATTTTCATTTTTTTCGTAATGATAACCCGCATAAAGAATCTAAAAAGTGTTTTTGAATACAATAAATTGTTAACAACAAGAATTTTACGAGAATAAAATCGTCATAGTTCCGAATCTCTAGAAAACCCAAAGTCTAGTTTTTGAACATCCAGGATCCAACAATAAAAGCTTCGTTTGATTACATGAGATGACAGAATAACTGATCCTTCACAACATTACTGACAAAACTACATTGATATTAAGAAACGTCCAAAAATTGTTTTCTTTTTTCGTAATTTTGCGAAGGGAGAATTGGACAAAGAGGAATTTTGGGTTTCTCTTAAAATTTACGTTATTCAGCCAAAAAATGTCGTGAAGAGCTCGCAAATGTGCCATTTTACATGTAATCAATAGGGGCTTTTATTTTCAGGACATGGTTACTGAAAAACTAGGATTTTCTAGAAATTCTAAATTGTGAAGATTTTATTTCCCGTAAAATCCTTATTGTTAATAATTTTCTCTATTCAAGTCACTATTTGGATTCTTTATGCGAGATAGAATTACAGAAAAAAATCAATATTAAATCTATGTGATTCATTTTCGGAGCCACTGTGTATAAACATGATCATTCTCGAATATGATAGTTTTCAAGAATTTACAGTGCACCTTAATTGAATTTCTCCTTACACCCACACCTTCTTTGTTCTGTATTTATCTTCTTTGTTTTCTTCCCGTCTGTTCCTTTGTCTATATCTACATTAGATGAATATCGCATATACGTATTAAATAAATATCACCATTAGACAATCCAATTTGGCATTCAACTATGAAAGCCGTTTGAAGCTATTATCCACTCACAATAATAAATCTTCCGTCACTATTTTCACAAAATTTTTATTCATTATCGAGAGAGAAAAGCAATAGTGCATGTCGCAAATAGACCCTGTCGGGTAGAATTCGGACCCGCTCGGGTCCGGATCGGATTCCGGCTCTGAAATGTTTTTGTGACCGGATCCGGGTCGGGTCCAGATGTGAAGAAAACTTTGATGCATACAATGTATTGTGAATTTTTTCAAAATTTTGTTCGTTTCATGAAGAAAAAAATTGAATGTATTTCGAAAATATACAAAAAAGCAACAAAAGACTTTTTGAATATATTATCGAAACTGATTTATCATCGTGCTTGGATCCAAAAAATTTAAGCGACCGGGTCCGAGTCGGATCCGGATCCAACATCTTTTAAACAAGCGGGCCCGGGTTCGGGTCCAAAAATCTTGAACCCGACGGGGTCTAGTCGCAAATGTCCTATTATCTATGAAACTGATCATATCATGACCAACCCTCCTTATAAATATTTTCTTCTTATAATTCAGTATATTGTAGCGAAAAGAAAACGATCTTTTTTTCTTTGTTGTTTAACTTCTATTTGTTCTTTGTGATTAATATATCATGCGATGTAGTGAGGTCTATACTTTCTTGCTATATACATCTTATCAAAAAAAGAAGCAAACTATAATACTCTAAATTAAGAAATACAATGAAAGGAAAATTCAATTGAAATGCACAATATTCTACGCATTTTTTATAAAGTTTTTCTCTTTTTTTGGCCTTTAGAAGTCTTTCAATGATGATGTGGCATTTAATTTTTCTTTCATAGCTTCTGTAAACTTAGCAATAGTTTGAAAATTACTATTCATTTTAAAATATAATGCACTCCACTATTTTTTGAATAACTTCTGATGGTAACATCATAGAGACTTACAGCTTTCACTATTTAAGCAAGAAGAGCTAGAGTTATATTTGATGGGTCAGCAATTGACTGACCTGGAAAAGCAGCCAGACAGGGATAATTCATCGTGTTGAGTCCATTGGTGATATTTGTTTTTAAGTTCGAACTGATCTGACTCTGTTATCTCAATACTTTCGATATGTCGACTTCTTCGTTACATGGAGACTGATTCTGGAATTTCAGAAATATTGAAATAACAGAGTCAGATTATTTCGAACCTAAAAAACAAATATTACCATTGGACTCAACATGTGAATTACCTCTGTCTAGCTGCTTTTTCAGATCAGTCCATTGCTGACCAATCAAATATAACTCTGGGTTTTCTTTCTTTCCTGAATAGTGAAAACCGTAGGTCTCTATGATGTTCGTATCAAAAGTTATTCAAAAAACAGTAAACCATATTATATTTTAAAATACCTTGTAGATATCAAAGAATAATAGATCATTATTAATTTTCGAAATAAAAAAAACCTAGAAATCGATCATAAAGGTTATAATATAATTTTGCACTTTTTTTTTTCAAAAGACTGAATTATAAAAGAAATTTTTGCTATAAATTCTCTTACCTTTCATCATTGATTCCATAGCCACTTCATATTTTTCTTTAGTTTCACAACCACGATATTTTTTATGAACACATTCAAAATAAACACGTGAAGCAATACAATATTTAATTGGATCTGAATCTCGAAGATCTTTTTCTGGTTTTTGACCACATGCACGTGAACCCATGACATCACATGCATTTATTTTTGATATTAACATCAATCGAAATAGGAATACGTAGAAAAATGGATAAAAGTTTGATAAATAATCGTACTTCATTTCATTTCATTTGAGGAAAAATAAAATGAAATCAAACGGTTATATATACAAGACATTAATGTTCGCGATGTTACTTGAACGTTCTTGTTGTTCAAGTGAATTTATGTGAAGTATGTTATGATTAATTGGAACAATCGAGATAGACAGAGAACAAGAAATTTCAACATACGTCGACTAAACTTTTGTTTCTCTTCATTCTTTCATCGATAGATAGTTATTGCATCAACGAAAGAATGATCAAACAAAAGTTTGTTTACAATTAATCGTCGTCGACATTTTCTTATTAAACAAACAATCAGAGCTTTTGTCAACAACAATCATGAGAATGAACAAATATTTATCTAATAACAAAACTGATGTTCAGTTATGTTTCGTAATCAATATCGAAAAAAAAAACAAAAGATGTCTAATATGTATTATAAATTTTTAGTCTCAAACTTGATTTAGTTATTTTATTCGAATCTTATCATTAGTTTATTTTTTCTTTGAAAAATAAATCTTTTATCTTATATGACAATAATAATATCTTTACTAGATAATCGAACTTTATCTTAATGAAGAGAAAGTTAAACATCAATAGGATCAGACATGTTATGTTTGTTCAGAAGGAAGGATAAATGTTTTATCTATTGCAAGAAAAAGAATGTTCATACTTTCTAGTGATTTTTCTTTTTGAAAACTTCTCCATCAATTAACTACAAATTAAGTTATTAGTTTTAAATTTCGTAAAAAAACAAGAATAAGTTAATTATTGATTCGTTTAGTAACATTGAATAATTCACTTCATCAAAATAATCTATTCATTAAATCATTCCTATTTCTGAACACATTACAATCTATACTTTGTCTTATTTTATTATATATTACATCAAAAACTGTTAAACTAAAAAAAAAACAAAACAAAGATTGATAAATACCGAAACTAAAATTTATGTATATTTGATGATTTCTATGAAAATATTATGTATGAACAGTATGTAATAATCAAAGTGTAGATCATTAAGCTGAGATAAATGAACACTGTAGTTAAGTTTACTAACAAGGAGAGTTCCCTAAATTGATTAATTGATTTTCAATCGGGACTATGGGCATCATATGGATTCTAATGAACTATGAATGTCTTGAAAAGCACTCGTGTCTTTTGCTGATTACTGCGCAGATACTGTATTTTTAAAGTATTTTTTAAATGAATACCATGATCTTCCTCAGGAACATCAAGAAAACTGACTTCCGAATTTCGAATTGAAACTTTACATGTAGACAGATCTTAATAAAAATAGTTTATTGTGAAAATGTCAGGTCTTTTTATTTGCTCTTATTTTGAAGTAAGAACATCTGAATCTGCCTGTGTGTACGAGTGATGTGAAAAATACACTCTTATCATAAGTGTATCTTAGGATAGAAACAACGAAAAGTTCTGAAACTTTCATAATACATGATTTTCATTATGACCTATCTCCATGAAAAATTTCAAGTCGAAATTTGAAAATCAATTTTTCCGATGTTTCTGAGGAGGGCTTCGGCATTCAGTAAAAAAATACTCTAAAAATGCAGTATTTTTATATCGATTAGCTGAGGACCCGAGTTCTTTTCAGGATATTCATAGCTTACTAGAGTCTACACGATACGCATAGTTTCGACTCAAAAGCGATGAATCAGTTAAGGAACTTCACTCGTTAAATTCAATAAATATTCAACTTACTCTTATAATCATCAACTTTAATTTATTTAGTCTAAAACTATTGGTTGATTTGTCTGCTTACTTCTTGCAAGTTGTCATAAATTTATGTATAAAAGATACATATACAAAATATGAATTTCATTTACGGTAATTGAATACTTGTTTTTCTATCATAGCTTTAATATATAGAACAATTTTTTTTCATATTAATAATTCCGCAATAAGTTTAGTTAATCACATATTCTCTATGATCTATAATTTAAAAGTATTCTGTTGTCTTTTATTTCTTTTCCTACATAATTAGAATGGAACACTATTTGTATGAGATTTATTTAATGTTCAATGATATTTTCGATTTTATTTGGTAAATATTTATTTCAATTATGACGGTGTTGTAGTGAAGAATTACTTGTAAATAGAATTCCAAAATCTTGATTGGAATTGATCGAAAGCAAAAATCAGTGATGAGTTTTGGAATACAGCAGTAGTCATTTTATAATGAACTACTTTTAGATTTGCCTTATGAAAGAGCGGTATTGACTAAAGTATTACCAAACTTGTCAATATTTTGTTAAGAAAATTTTTTTAACTTTCATTTTCATAAAAACATTATCATGAACTTTTATGAGAATACTTTTATAAAATAATTTCTATGCCGTAAAACTTGTTCAATAGAATGTAAATGGTATAGGTCATTTGTTCAAACAAGTTATAGTTTAATTACATGATTCACATCAATGAGATGTACACGTCTGTTAAACACAGTTTTTTATTACGTAATAACATCTGCTTATTCACTTTCTTTATTGTTCTCTAAAAAGTACTTCTTAAAAATTCATTTCTAATAGAATGATAATTCATATTTTTGACATGATAGTGAGCCTAATAGACTATTAAAAATTTTCATATTTCATCGTACATCAATGTTCAAGCAAATGATATTATAATAAAAAGAATGTTTCAAGAATTATTTGTTGTTAAAAATCATGCATTTGGTATCGATCTTTTTTCGTCAATGCCGAATGAAGAACTAATATTCCAATTACAGTGGTATTGTTTTATACCATTCTTAATGCACCTTAACGAACATAACTGCCAATTGTTTATTGATATCGACAAAGTATTGAAATATCTTGAAAAGAATTATGTAGATGTTGTTTCAACTCAAAAAATATCGTCTTCATTAGAAATTAGTCAATGAATATCTTGAGAGAAAATAAAAATTATGATCAATTAAAAAATTCGAAAAAAAATATTGTACTGTTTGGTTGGAATGGAAATGAACCTTTTCTACGGTTTGTTTGTTAACTACAAACATATATAAAAAGGTGGCCATGCTAGCTTATTTGTTGCTAAAGGCAGCTTCTCCTCTCATCTATCATTCCTGGTCTCATTACGATTTGTTTTTTAGCAAGAGATATTGGCAGTTTTGTGGAACTCACATATATTTTCGAAGAAAATAGTGAGTGTAAGTTTTAAGTTCAAGGCTTGGCGGCTCCCCCATTCCCCCCACCCCCTTCATTACAGATACCCCCTTCATTACAGATACCCCCTTCTCCCATTACAGACACCCCCTCCCATCACAGGCCCTCCCCCATTACAGACATACCCCTCATTACAAACCTCAGCAACCACGCATAAAAGGCTTTAGATTCTATAAGATATTTCAATGCTTTCGTAAGTATTTGAACAAAAAGTATCGTGCAGTTTATGAATCATGCATGAGGATAACAGGTCTGAAGGACATGCGTGAGTTCCACATTTCAGCTCCTTTGAAGCTCCGCTAATAAGCTTTTTTTATACATGTTCATGATCGACAAGCAAACTGTGGATAAGACCCATTCCCATTTCAACCGATTCTAAGAGTTGAAATTCATGTATTCCTATTGTTGAGTGCAATTTTCTTTTTTATAGTTTCAAGACATTGACATTTATTAAAATTTTCTGACTTTTATCTCTCTGTGCATTTGAATTTGCATCACTATTATACTTTCAAATAAATCGAAAAGTCATTATTAAAAATAAATTAGATATGAATTTTTCAATATATTATTCTTGAGTCTTTCATTGTTTGATATATTAAATTAAATTTCGATATTATTCATATTTCATTTTCAATCCCATTTCTATATTCAACATTAATTTTAACAAAAAAAAAAGAATGTTTTCTTTTATATAAAAACAATGAATGTTTTTAGGCCCAACTAAAAAGAAATTTCTTCAATGACCATTTTATCATTAACATAATATTCATGTTGAATTGTTGGTATTGATTTAGATAGATAGGCAAAAAAAAATAAGTAAACAAAGGTTTATCAAATGTTTTTTTTCTAATAGAATTCTTTATTTATTCATTATTTTCTTTGTTTTTATTTTTCTCCCTGTAAAAACGGAAAAAACCGACATGTTATGACAAAAAATTGATTAGAAATGAAAAGAACAAATAAGAACAAACACTTTTCAACTGTTCAGCGACCTCTTTCTGTCAGTATTTTTGTTTCTCTCTCTTTCTCTCTGCATCAATTGGATCGTACGCAACTAGAGAGAGAAAGTTGATTGACTGATAGGTAGATAGCAAACGGCCATCGGTCAAAGTTTTTTGTTGATATCTTAAAATAAAAGGATAATAATTAACTTTAAAAAAAATTTTTCTTTTTAAATTTGTATTTAGCTGTTGTTCATTAGTAATGCATAGCTACTATTTATTATTATTATTATTTTAAGCAGTCATGAACAACAACAATAATAATACTCCATTGTCAAATCGAGTTTGTTCTGTTTTATTTTTTTAATATATTTCAAAGTTTTTATTTTTATTTTTATTTTTTTATTTTTAGTCGGATGGTACCGATTCAGGATCGATTATTTCTTCAATTTATTCTTCTAACAGTGTATCATCTACAACAACATCAAATAATTCTTTAATAAATCGATCATTTCCACAACAAACTCCAATAACAATGAATTCCGATATAGATTCATCTGTAATTAATAATACACATATACAACAAATTGATCAACGTCGACAAATTATTCATCATCTTGCTCTTTTACTTCATGCACATAAATGTCTTCAACGTGAACGACAAATAGTTAATAATGGTGATATTCATGACACCACACATCAAAATCTTTGTACAGTACCACATTGCACAACAATGCGTACTGTTCTTCAACATATGACAAAATGTTCTGATTTTAAAAATTGTTCTTGTAAGTATTTTAAATTGAAGTTAAAATTTATATACAATCAGTTAGACTAGACTAAATGCTTACAAATAAATCAGACTGTTTTTTTTTTTGCATTTCAAAATTTATTAATTTCATGTGCAGGCTCTATTGACATATTCTCGATCCAATAGAGTCAAGGTCAACTTGAACGCATCATTTTGTATATTCATTAGTCATAAAAATATATTTGTTTGTTGTTAATTATATTTTAAGAAAATCAGAAAACGGCTATAATGACATAATTGTTATATAAATTTGATTGATCTACATTCAAATTTAAAGATTTGCACTTACAGATTGTTCGAAAGAAAAATTCTTTTATCTGTTTTCTTTTTTTTTAGTTAACAATTGTGTTCAATCTCGTCATATAATTCTTCACTGGAAGAATTGTACAACACCAAATTGTTTTCTATGTGGTTCTTTAAAAAAGCCATCTACACTTCGATCACAAAATCCATCAAGTAAAATTAATCTTAAATAATTTTATTTAGAAAAAGAAAAAAAGAAAACAAAAATGTAAAATTTCCTTATTTCTTTTAGCAAAAGAATGGCAACAAAATATAAATCAAGATCATCGAAGTCATTTAGTAAGAAAAATTACTTCAGCTTTATTAAATACAATTCAACAAGATAATCATCCATTATCACCAGATCGTTTAGCTCTTATAACTAATTATGCACAAAAAACAGAAGCTGATACATATAATACAGCTACAAGTCATGAAGATTATTTTCAACGTTTAGCTGAACGAATATATAAAATTCAAAAAGATTATGAAGAAAAACAAATATTAAAAAAACAACAAGCATTAACAACAACATTAACATCAATTGATAAATCAGCTGGTGAACAAGGTCCACCAAATCGTATTGCACCACAAATTGATTATTCAACATCATTTTCAACAACACAAATTAAATCTGAGTCAGATAATAATTATCATACAAATTCAACAACAACAACAACAACAGCAACATTATCAGGACCTTTTGATCAACATCGTATTTCAACCGATGGTATTAGTCGATTAGCTATACATAGTAATAATTCAAATACACATGCAGATACAAATGAAAGTCATATTGATACAACACGTATTAAAGTTGAAGAAATTCCATCTAATCATGATACGAAAATTCAAGTAAGAAATTAATTATATAAGCCAACAAAAAAAAAAAAAAAATTGTGAAGCTTTTTATATTATAAAGGATAGGATACAGACGTAGTTACAATAGAACACGAGAAAAATTTTATGTAATATCTGCCAATATTAGTGTAGGATGATGAAAATTTTCTTATCACTTGTCCATTAACACGTAATTGTGTCAAAAGAACGATCTAATAAACTGAAAAAGAAAGGTGTATACGCACGTTTTTATCTTGTACTCTATGTCCTTGTCGTTTTATTTGTTCACAAAATACTCAAAATTTCTATAGAATCAATCAATAGATTTTTTTTCTAAAGTTTGTTTAAAAACTAGATAAATAAAATACTTATTCCAATCGAATTTTATTCATGTAAAAATGCAATTTATCTTCACATTATTGCTTGTATCTTTAATGATAAATCCTAACAATAAATAAAATATAAAAAAAAATCAAACACTCTTCATCACGATTAAGATTAAATTAAACTAATACAAATCACTGTTTGATATCGATGTCGAGCAATAAAAAACGATTGTTTCTGTAAATATTGTTCTAGAATGTCAATTTTTGGTCCATAAGTTCGATATGACTTGATGTTATATTACAACTTATAAAATCTTTAATATTCTTCTGTGAAATTCTTTTAAACACGACTAAGATCAACTGTTACTTACGATTCAGTCAAATGCGTAGGTTTCAATGTGAAAGGATCTAGGATGGGTTAGTCCATCCCCATTTTTTTATGTTGCGTCAGCAAAATCTGAAAAAGCAACTTTTCTCAATCATTTTTTTTTGTCAGACAGACTGCATATCACTTCTAACAACTATCAAGAATCCTGGTAAAATATCTTGAACATATTAATAGTTCTGTTCTTTAGAACTTTTGAAAAATTTGATTTTTGTTGATAAATTCATCAGAATATTTATTTGGCTAAAAAATAAAACACTTCTATGAATATTTTGTATAAGAAGAACTATTTAAACATACATCGTAACGTCCAGACAGACGTTGCGATCCATGATTTAAATTAGTCAGTATTAGAGATGTCCGGAATCAATGTGTGTTGGTCTTGGTTATGGTCTCGGTAAATTTAATCCGGTTCCTATCGAGAGAAAATTATTCCAGAGTTTATTTGTATGACATCTAAAAGAATTCTTCCATACATAATTGTTCATTTAGTCGGCAATTGGCACTTTTGGATCATCTCTCTTGAATTATGTTTCAATTTATAAGATAATTCGCTTAAAATCATAGATTATCTAACCAATATCTTTTGTGTCGGTTAGGATAATTTTTTTCTCGTAGTTTCAGTCCCGTACATCTCTAGTCATCACATAAAAATCCATAAGAGAATTCAATATTTTCTAATTGATAGATAAAATGCAGGAACATGCTCAGAAACATTGCAATAGAATGAAAATATGACAAAAGAAAACTTATTCTTCATATCTAGTCAGTACTTCCAAAAACAAAAAAAAACATTTTTGACATAGATCAATTTGTTTCGAAAAATAATTAATAGGATTTTAATGTCTCTATTAGTTTTGCATTTGTTAACTTGATGTTATCAACTTAATTTCTACTAGATTTCATATTTTTTTTTCTTATTTAGTCAACAACAATTGTTAAAAAAGAAGAAAAATTTACTACGGAAACATCAATCAATGGTAATAGTATTACAAAAATAACAGTTGAAATGATATCAAGTGAAAAAACTGATATTGAATCAACAAAATCAAATCGACCACCACCTATTGATGCTACAAGTAAATCATTACCAAAACATTCAGCAGTTTTTTCTTCTGAAGATATTCGAGAAAAAATGACACCTCTACTTCGTCATATGTATGATCAAGAAGAAGGTATTTGGTTTCGTCAACCAGTTACAGAAGCTATTGCACCTGGTTATTTTGATATAATTAAATATCCAATGGATTTTTCTACTATATTTAAAAAATTAAATGAAAATCAATATGCAACACCATTTCAATTTTGTGAAGATATTTGGCTTGTTTTTAATAATGCATGGACATTTAATAAAAAATCTCACCGTGTTTATAAAGCCGGTGTTAAAGTAAATTATTCTTTTCAAAACAAAAAATATAAATAAATAAATTTGATTGTTTGTTTGTTTTTTTGTATAGCTTGCTGATATATTTATGGATAATGTTGATCCAATAATGAAAGATTATGGTTATTGTTGTGGACGTCAATATGTATTTTTACCACCACCAATGTTTTGTTATGGTATTAGTGGTATTTGTTGTACAATACCACGTGATGGTGATTATTTTGTTTATAATAATCCTGATTCATCAAGAAATAATTTATCGGGTGATAAATATACATTTTGTAAAAAATGTTTTGATTCTGTTAAATCTGATTATATATTAGTTGGTGATGATCCAGCACAAACATTAATTGAATTACCTAAAATTGAATTTCATCAAGCTAAAAATGATCATCAAGAACAAGAATTATTTATTGATTGTATTGTTTGTTCAAGACGTTTTCATAATATATGTGTACTTTATCATGAACATATATGGCCAGAAGGTTATATTTGTAAATTATGTGTACAACAATATAATGTTAAACGTAAAGAAAATCGTTATTTAGCACATAAATTAACAATGACTGATTTAGCTAATGTATTAGAAAAACGTGTTAATGATTTTCTTCGTAAAGAATGTGATCCAGATACAGGACGTGTAACAATACGAGTGTTAGCTGCAAACGATCGAGTATGTGAAGTTAAACCAAGATTAAAAAAACATTATGGATCACAAATACATGATGGTTATCCATATAGAACAAAAGCTATATTTGCATTTCAAGAAATTGATGGTATAGATGTTGTTCTTTTTGGTATGCATGTACAAGAATATGATGGTCGATGTCCAGCACCAAATACAAGGTTTGATATTTTGATAATATTTCCTTTTCATAAATGAGTAAACAGAACAAAAAAAGAAACCATTAATAGAACCGATTTGATAAAGATCATTCGATCAACATTGGCGTGTAGACTGATAATTAGCTAACCTCTTGAGAATGAATTTATTGTGAGAAGAAATATAAAATTTCCAAATTTTAAGATTATATATGCAATGAGTAGCAAAATTATTCAACGAGGTTTCTTTTCAGTGTTTTTTTTTCACTATCGTAAACGTTAGAAAGCATCCAAATAGTGATTCGAATAGAGAAAATGGTTTCCAACAAGAATATAAAGAAATAAAAATTATTATCAGATTAGCAAAGATAGAAACTCTAGAAAAACTAAAACCTTAGTTTTTCAATACTTAAAAAGTGGAAATATTATATTGTTTAGGCTATATAGAACGATATAGAGTAATCCATCTTCTACAAAATGAGATACCGTTGAGTTCTCTACGATGTTTTTTAAGAAAAAACCAACGACTTTAGGGATTTCCGTAAGATAGTTGTATCTCAGCTAAAGAACATCGTAGAGGATTCAGAGGCGTTTCATTTTGTAGAGAATTGTTTGTTCTATTGTTCTGTATAATCTAAACAAAATTTTATTTATTTGTTTTCTAGATGCTGAAAACTAACTTTTTAGTTTTCTGAAGTTCTTGCCTTTGAAAACTTCATAATAATTTTTTTATTTCATTATATTCTTTTTGGCAATATGTTCTCTATTCGAATCACTATTTGGATTCTTTCTAGCACTAACAGCAGTAAAAAAAAAAGATTGAAAATAAGTCTTGTTGAATAATTTTACTATCCACTGTATATATACACAAATGATGGATAGAACTAGAATGTACTAGAAGAGACAGAACTCATATTAAAGATAATAAGGGTACTAAACGAGAAGTTGATAGTAGGTGTCATCATTTATTGAAGAACCAAGAAAATAGTATAGAAGTAATGGGTCTAACTACAGTAAGAAAGACAATGCATGAGAGTACAATACGAATGATAGTTTTACGATATATTTGAAATGATGAATCCATGATCTATACGATTGTCTTTGTCATCGAAGTGTTATATGAGAGTAGTTGCATAGCCACCAGATGACAGGAAAAGAATGCGTTCTCAAAATGAACGGAATTCTTCCCATTGAAAAATAACGAATTTAGCTTCGTAGTAGAAACTTTTCTTTACTGGCTATATTCCTAGTAAAAACTTTCGAGTTACGTTACACTATAAGAGACATACCGAAATCAACTTCTAAGTGATACAGAACTACAGATAAGAGTTTTTGAAAATCCGTTTAAACGTTCTAATCACGATTTCCATTTGGACATTTTTACTATCTGAAAAACGTCTGAAAAAGTTTTCTGACAATATTTTTGACATACACTACACATAAAAGAGTCATTTTAATGTTCAAAACGCATCAAATTATTGCTGAAAAAACTTTTTCAACGTTTTCTAACTGCTGTTGATGTTTCCTGAATCGACGCGAAAGTATTCAAACAAGAATCATCATTAGAACATTTAAACGTATTCTCAGAAACTCTTATCTATTTGGAACACGTGAAAAACCTCTAGTGAGAGTCGTTTTTTTGCTTTTATATTATTCAGATGGTCTTACAGCCAGAGAAACTAGACAAGCCATTTTTTCTGATGATTTTAGTTTTTTTTTTCTTTATTTTAGACGTGTGTATATATCCTATCTTGATTCTGTATATTATTTTCGTCCAAAAGAAAAACGAACAGGACTCTATTATGAAATTCTTATTGGTTATCTTGAATATGTCAAACAATTAGGATTTATTTATGCACATATATGGGCATGTCCACCAAGTGAAGGTGATGATTATATATTTCATTGTCATCCACCTGAACAACGTGTACCAAAACCAAAACGTTTACAAGAATGGTATAAAACAATGTTAGATATAGCGATTAATCAACGAGTTGTTGTTGATTATAAAGTTTGTTTTAATTGAATTTTGTCTTTTTTATTTCATTGATCATACTATTGAATTTCTTTTTTATAGGATATAATGAAAGATTTTACTGAGAGTGCGTTAAATAAAGCAACTGATATTCCATATTTTGAAGGCGATTTTTGGACAAGTACAATAGAAGATTTAATTAAAGAACTTGATATAGAAGAAGAAGATAGACGAAAATTTGAAGAACTTGAAGCAGTAAAAGTATCTGATGATGGATATTTTGATGATTCAATGGAAATTGAAGAACCAACTGAAGTAAAATAAATTAATACATAAATTAATTGTTTATTTATTTATTTATTTTTTCTATATTTAATTTATTAATATTAGACATCAGATAAACGTAAATCAGGTGGTGGTACAACACATAAAAAGAAAAATTTCAAAAAAACGACTAGTCAACGTCGAATAACTCGAAAAAATATGACAAATGGAACTGATCTTATTTCAAAAATTCATGCAATGATGGAAAAACATAAAGAAGTAAATATTAATATAAGAGACACTATAAAAGTTTTTTTTTCGGCGGCTCTTTGAAACAATATACAAAGGCTTAGTATTAGTGTTGTTTTTTTAAATAATGGCTGCTTAAAGCATGTGTAACATTGAGTTACTGTTGTTAAGACTTATTTTGTGTAATTGATATTTCAGTTTTAGCAATAGAAAGGAATTGCACAGGCTTAGATCTGCGGCACAGGATCATGTGTGTCCAATTCCTTCAGAGTCCAGAATGTTTATGATCTCGTATTTTTTTATTAATTTATTTTCTGATCCAATTAGAAAACTTGTGTCAGATAGTTATTGACAGACTATATTCTGTACAAAACAATAGCATGGTATACTTGTCTAAGCTTTTGTTTTGATAAATTTTGAGATCGCTAGCGAAAATATTGAATACAAGATTGAAATTAGTCTATACAAATCTCTTCAATAAATGAGTAAACGATTGAACATGGAACTACTTTCAGTCATCGATCAGCTAATCATCTATTTATCGAGCATAAAACTTTGTAGAATTTTAAAAACAAATAGAAATAATTATTGGCGAAATTATGCTTCAAGTGTCTTCTATTAATTCGTATACCCAGCAACAATCATTTTCAGTTATCGCTTGGAAAGAATCAGTTGTATCTACATAAATAGCAGCTAAAGAACGACCTGATTTTCCTTGGTTGAAATTCACAGTTTCCGTATACGTTAAACAAATTTTCTGTTCATATAAAATCATATTTCAAAATCATTGTCATGACTTCTTTTCAAAAAATATCGTTTGATTGATTTGAAAGAAATGTAAGAATAAGACATTGTACAAAGCCTAGAGGTCTGAAATATGTATGTCTATGTATTATAACAAAATACTTGACCTCAATATGCAGCTTTTAGGAGAACTGAACGAAAAAACAAAAACTTTTGTAGTGCTCTATATAGATATTATAAAATCAAAAATTTATGTTTTTTTTTCCATAAAAATTTCTAGTCATTTTTTGTTGTTCGTCTACGTAATCCAATGTCAAATCCAGCAACATTAACCGATACAGATCCATTAATACAATGTGATCTAATGGAATCTCGTGATGCATTTTTAAATTTTGCTCGTGAAAAACATTGTGAATTTTCTTCATTACGTCGTGCAAAATATTCAACTATGGTTTCATTAATTGAATTACATTCATCAACAGCAGATAAAATATCTTATACATGTAATTCATGTCGACAATTATGTGATATTCGTTATCATTGTACAGTATGTGAAGATTATGATTTATGTAGTAAATGTTATACAACAATAAAACATGAACATCGTATGGAACGTTCAGATGATACAAATGAAACAAAAACAAATTCAGATACAACAATTAATATTCAACAACAAAGACAATTAACAATGCAACGAATGTTAGATGCTATACGTCATGCTGTACAATGTCGAAATGCAAATTGTATATATAAAAATTGTGCCGTATGTAAAAGATTACTTCAACATACTAAAGAATGTACAAAAGCATCAAGAAGTCAATGTCAACATTGTAATAAATTTCTTTCACCTATTTGGCTTCATGCTAAAACTTGTACTGATCAAAATTGTTTAGTATGTATCAAAAGAAAATGATTTTGTTAGATATTGATTTTTTTTTTGTTTAAATATTTAGTTACCTTTTTGTGCAACTTTTAAAAATAAAATTCAACGACAACGTGCAGCAACTATGCAAGCTGATCGAAGACGTATTAAAGCTATGCATCGAGCAAAAATGGGACCAGGTAATTATGGAAATAAAAAAAACAAGATTTTCTATCTGATGAAAAATAATAATTGAATATTTAAATTTTAAAGAATAGATAGAAATTCAATTGAATCGATCAGTTCGATTTATGAATGTTTTTCTGTTTTTTGACACTATTGTTCATTATGAAGAAAATAAAATATATATTCTTAATATTATCTAGTATCAGTGAAACAAAATACTTACTTTAATTCATTGTTCTCTTTTTATTAAAACTTTACTCTATTGTTCCTAGGTCCATCACCAATTAATTCACAAAATTCTGAACCAACAACATCTGGAAAATATCATCATTCAATGGAATCAGCCTCACCAAGTTCAACTGGCAAAATGATGCCATCAAGTGGTAAACCTTCGTCTATGAGTAGTTTAGTTCGTACTAATTTATCACAACAATTACCATCTCAACAACAACATTCTGTTTATTTTAATGGTGGCAAAGGTAATCCAACTGGTGGTAATAATAATAATAATAATAATAGCGGATATCCAATGATGATGACGACACATCCTCAACAAACATCACAACAATGGATTTCATCACAACAACAAATTCGATATGCATCACAAGGAGGAAAACCAATGGCTTATGGTCAACAAAGAATACCTTATGGAGGTGATCCATATATGATGAGACAACCAACACCACAGGTATCATCATATCCATATTCATCAAATATAGGTAAATAATTAAAATAGAAATTTCATTTAATTAAAACATCTCATTTTTTATTTTAGCTCCACAAGGTTATTCATATTCTCAACCAATGGATGTTAATACATTAGGTACAGTACGAAGTGGATCACCGATGTTGCCACAACAACCACAGCAACAACTACCTAATCGATATCCAATCAATTCATCTTATAGTCAACCTATACCAATGTCATATCCACAACAATCGTCAGTGCCATCAATATCACATCGATCTCTTTCACAAGGTACGCCTCCAAATTATTCAGTGTCATCAAACAGTGTTGTTAATAATAAATCAAATTTAATTGATTCAATTGAAATAAAAACTGAAGATAGTTTTGATGATCCATCAAAATTACAAACATCTCAATCACAACAACAACAACAACAACCAATGTTTCATCCATTATTACAATCTTGTTCACGTCCACAATCAACATCCTATTATCCAAATATGCCACCAACAAATAATACTTATTATAATTCACAACGTCCAATAACAGCATCACCTGATTATAATATGTCTGTAGGACGTGGTATTCGACTAACATCTGTACCAACAAATGCTTATGGAACATTACCAGTTCAACAACGAATTTTTGTTCCACCTTCAACAAGTGATCTTACAACAGGTATTAATAATAATAATAATAATAATAATAATAATACAATAGGACTTCAATCAACACCACCTCCATCATCTGTAATTCCTCACTAATTAAACAAACATTTTTTTTCTTCTTTATTTTGCTATTTATATTATCTTTGTTGTATGTTTTGTCTATTCTCTATTTTTCGAACTTATTTGTTGCCGACTGATTTTATTCTTTTCATGAAATAACTCATAAGAAGATTCCGACAAACGAAGGAACTATGAGATGATTCGTTTTTCTTTTCTTTCTTTTTTTTTTTTTATTTAAATTTGATCTGTATCTCATATTTATATGTAACAAAAAAATTATCTCGTTTGCTCTTTTTTTTTTCTTGGGTGTATGTATAGTTGTTTTATCTTATTTTTAATGCGATATATGAGGAAAGAAAAAAATCTATATGCATTGTTCTGCTTTGTAGTTTTGTTTTTATCATTGCTGGTATACATTGTCTGTTTGCTGTGGTGGAACAAATATGAATTTCTTTTTTTTTTCTTTGTTTTTATTCATTGTCTCTCATACTTTTCTTTGTCGGCTTCTATTTTTCATAATAAATATTGTTGTTGTTAATGGCTTCGTGCATTACGCTCTTTTCGTTGTTGTAGTTTTGTGTCTTTTGTTTTCTTTTTTTTTGTTTCTTCTTGATTTCCACAAGGAGAATGAGTCCGTTTGTAAGAGTTTACATCATTCTTTTCTAACGGTACGAGCGTACATTGTTGCCGTTACAAACATTTTTCTTTCTTCTTTTTTTTTTTTCTACTTGTAACTTGTACTAATAATACGAAAAATAAAACCAAATGGTTAAATCAAAGAGTGGAATTGAAAAAATTGATAGATAAAACATAAAGCGTGTACAATGGGCAATTTCTAGCGAGTACGTGTACATGAGTTATTTTCTGTCAAAAACGAATTTTTTTCATAGAAATGTACTCAAATATAAGATTGATGAAAAAAAAAACGAAATTTAAAAAAAAAGAGAAACTGTTTGCTGTGGAAAATTTCGGACGGAAACCCTTACCGTAACTCTTTTTCCCTCATAATGGTTCCAGAAGAGTCAGTAATAAAACAACTATTGAAGCCGAGTATTGTTCTCTTCAGTAGGTTAATAACATAACCAGATTGACCAGGTGTACTTTTTTGTGTGCACGGTAGTTTGGAAACTCCAATTGCCATTGGGGATAGTAACATGGAAATTTCTTTGTATTTTTTTGCGAGTAGCTTGTTGGTTTCACAAAAATACAATATAATCTTTTAATTCAACTATATGAATAGAGAAAAAATCAACACATAGCAAGATTTTCTTTTTTTTCCTCTATAACACATGGGTTTGTGAAACAACTTTCGATTTACATAAAATCTGTTTTTCTCGAAGTAATTAAATCATCCAGTAAAGAATATAATTATCGATTCATTCTTCTTCAACTTCGAATATGATAAGATTTAACAGAATTTGGATGTAGATCTGAATGTGGCTTGGGTCTTTTCTTGTCCGACACCCATCCTCCGTCTACCTATTTAGCCAGGTCGAACATATACGATCGTAAACGATCGTTTACGATGGAAAAGGGAGGCATACGGGTGTCGTACATTGGCTTCGTATATGACGCGATTATACAGAACAAAACAGTGAGAAACGGATTCCGTATACGACGATCGTATAAAAATACGAAGTGAGTCAAAGGTAAATACCACTACTTCGTATACGAAGCTATACGACTACCGTATACAATCGTACATCATCGTGTACGGCCGTATATTTAATTTCAGAAATTTGTAGTGAAAGCGAGTAAAAATGATTAGATCATCCAAGGATGATGATAGTATATTCATATTATAGACGTAGATATGACTTCTTAAAACTGTATTTAATTACTTCTATACCATTGTTCACATATTTGCCTTGAATTTCTTATTATCCATACACTCGCATATAGCAGACCTCCGATAGCTCGTATGTGGTACCTAGTTATGATATTGTCCCAATACTAATATAGATTTTCTGCTTGAAAAGTCTAGTACATATATGTTAGACACGTTAAACTGCAACGGTAGGTATTGTGAAGCAATAATATTGATAAAAGATAGAAGGTAAAAAGTATAAGTATGTAAAACAAATTTATAATAAGATATTGTGACACGGAATATGGCATATATTGTAAATGTGAAGATTAAGAGATACAGCTATAAAAGAATAGGTATAATATATAGAGTAGAGTAGCAACTACATGTGGTAGAAATTATGGAAGAGGAAATTTAGGGTTGAAAGTACAGGTGGAAAATAGGAGTATAAGATAGCAGGTATGAGAATTAGTAACTATTTTTAATTTATCTTATTTTATTTTATTTATTTTAAATCTTTTCGATCTATCATTTTGATGAGGAGTAAGTATTTTTAATATATTAGCTTGTATGTTATTATTTTAAATCATTCAATCTATTGTTTTAATAAAAAATATGTATTTTTAATCCAATTTATTTTAATTTTTTAATTTTAGATTATCTAATGTAATGAACTCGATGAAACGTTAGCATTTTTTATTTTATTTTAGATCATTTAATACAATGGATTCAATCAACAGAAAGTATTTTTCTTATTATTTAATCTGATTTTTTATTATAGATCGATTACTTTATATCATCGTTTATATGAGTAGGAGACAAAAGATCACAAAAATGCTCATATTTTTGCCATTTTTGGCCAAAACATGATTGTTTACCATCGTTTGCGGCAAAAAAGATACGGTCGTTTGCGACAGTATACGGTAGGGTATATGACCGTTAACAGTCGTAAATAGACTTCGTAGCCATCAATCTAGGCATCTTCTTTTTTATCTCTACTTTTTGTGTTTTTTTTCTTTTTTTGTTGCTAGTGTTATAGCTATTTTTCTTTTCGTTT